AATTACCTGGAAGAACTCTTGGCGATGGCTTTTATTTTTTCTCTTTTTCAATCTAAGTGTGAGCAATTTCACTCAGAAGCTTAGTAAGAAGCACTTGGGGTGCATTCTACTTCTTCTCAATCTCATGGGAGGCCCATGAAAAACGTTGAACAGGAATGCAAAAGCCTGAGGCCGTGGTCATGTTGCTGTTCCCTTCTTGGAACTGACAACTAGAAGTGTTCGCGGATAGGTCCAGCTGACTCTCTAAGAAGAATTGACCTCACCAGGCTGGTAGTCACATCTAACTGTGGCCATGGCTAAGAAGGCAACCAATTCACATCAATGATGGTATAAAATAATGTAATCATACTGGGTGGCTCACGCCTATAATCCTAACCACTCAAGAGGCTGAGGTCTGAGGATCCCAGTTCACAGACAGCCCAGGTAGGGGCTGGGAAGGTGGCTCAGTGGTAAAGCGCATGCCTTGCATGCCAGAGGCCCTGGGTTCTATTCCTCAGCACCACATAAGCAAAAAGAAAAAAGCTGGAAGTGGCGCTGTGGCTCAAGTGGTAGAGCGCTAGCTTTGAGCTGAAGAGCTGAGGGACAGCGCCCAGGCCCAGAGTTCAGGTCCCATGACCGGACCCAAAAAAACAAACAAACAAAAAAAAAACAGACAGCCCAGGCAGGAAAGTCCATGAGACTCTTACCTGCAGTTAACCTCTGAGAAAGCTGAAAGTAGAGCGATGACTCAAGTGGTAGAGTGCCAGTCTGGAGCCCCACCCCCCAAAAAACTAAGGGACAATACTAAGTCCCAGAGTTCAAGTCAGCACAATAATACTAGTAGTAATAGTAGCAGCAGCAGCAGCAACAGCCGTTGTAGCAGTAGTAGTAATGGTAATGATGATGGAATCTTGCTATGATAGAGTGCATATTTAAAGTACAGTCTAGAGATATGATTTTCCTGGCATGGTATTTTTTTCTCTTTGCATAGAGTATACAGAAGTTAGGCCTTTCAGAAACTGCTAAACAAATCGACTCAAGAATCTTTCGAATAGTGTGGCAAAAATCAAGAGTGAGTTGAGAAAAGAGTGTGTATGCACAGATGATGCACCCGTGAGACCACGCCATGCCAAGCATGGCTCTCTGCTCCCCCGTGTGTAAGAATGGCCAGAGAAGCCAGAGTCTGTGTGTCTCGGGAGCACTTTTGTGGATTCACCCCTGGAACGAACCGTAGGTCGTGAGCCGTAGCACGGGTTTTGCAGTTCAGCCCAGTTGGTTTCCATTCTTTTTTTTTTTTTTTTGCTTATGTGGTGCTGAGGAATCGAACCCAGGGCCTCAGGCATGCAAGGCAAGTGCTCTACCACTGAGCCACCTTCCCAGCTCCTTGGGTTCCATTCTTGTTCCCTGTGTTTGTTCCTGACTCTGAGTAACTCAGTGCTTGGGTTCTGTCTCTGGGAAATGAACACAAGTGAGACTGTATCCTACATTGTATAATTTTAATATTAACCAGTAATCTTACATGGAAAGCATGCAGTGCTGGACCCTGGTAAAGGCTGCTCACTAAGGGTTGGTCAATAAAAGATGATAACCTTCATTACCGGGAAAGGTTACGTCTACAGAACTCTCCAGAAAGTCATGTTCATTTCACTGCCTTGAAAGGTCATCAAACAGCTACTCAGATCGTGAAGGTCTTTAGAAACATTACACTTTCTTGTTTTGCATATTATTGAAAGTGAATGGTTAATAATTCCAGGAAGAAACCCCCACGTGGTTATTATGGGGAGATGGTCAGCAGCCTCAGGAGTGAGTCTTCTTTGACTCCTGTTTTCTAGATCTGTGAGTGTTCGTCCCTTTTCTCATCATTGCTTTGCCAATGTCTCAGTGCTCAATCTTCCTGTTCTTAAACACGAGGTGTTCTGAGATGAGTGCAGCGTGGGTGCTTTTATTCTATATGGGGAGTGTGTTGCTGTTGTGCATTTGCTAACCCATAGATATGCAAATACAAACCACAATGTAAACTAAAGTATTTCATAAACAAGAGTCTACTGGGCTGCCCATGATTACTAAACCAGAATTTCTTCCAAAATTAACTTATAACTTGTTTCCTGAGCTCATTTGTTTCCTTCCCACGAATAAAAATGATACTTATTCCAAATCTATTAGCTTCCAATTTTTTCTTCCCTATTTATTTTGATGAAATTCAGGACATTTTAATTAGAGCATTTCCCAAGTTGTATGCATTATCAGATAGTCAAACACTGCCTTCCATCCACACCTAATTCCAACTTCCTGATGCTGATTATTCCTTCTTCACTACATGCTGTCTAAGAACTAGCCTTTGTAACTTAGCATGAGAATAAGTAACTCCTTTCCTCAGGCGGAGTGGCTAAATATGCCAGAATCTAGCTGGCAAAAAAGTACAGGATAATGGTCCCTATTCTAGTAGTCTGATACTTTGGCATCACTAAGATTCTCTAGGGAAAATGGTATGTTTCAATGCTCAAAATCCAATGGTAGGTGGATGTTTCTGAAAGTATTTTGCCTTGGAAATAGACAGCCTGAAAACCTTTTCACCTTGAGGAGCATGGTTTAAAATATAAAAGTTATAACGGGGTTATTTTAAAATTACTAGGTTGATTTATTAGGCATATATGTTTAATCTATACGCTTTTTTGCTGTCCTGCTGTTCCCTCATTGCAAAAATAAGAATATGTGTTTTCTTTTGGAAAGATTCTGCCATACCGTAAATATGTAGCAGGAATTTCTTTCCAAGTTAAATTGTGTCTGTGGGTATGTGTGTGTGTGTGTGTGTGTGTGTGTCTGTGTGTCTGTGTGTCTGTGTGTGTGTGTGTAAGAGAGATTGTTTTTGCCCTTTACCCAAGTAATGTAGTAGGGAAGAGAATGGATATAGATATCACATCTTAGTCAAATGCAGCATCTAATGCTGAAACCACTATTTAGAATTATCCTGGCTCATTTCCTTTACATGGAGTATACAGGACTATCATTTGAATTCAAGCTTAGTCTGCAAAGGGCCAAATCATGCCATTTGTTTCCTTCCTTGTGGTAACTATCACCTACTTTTGTCCCTTCCTTGAGAGCTGCATGCCTTATAAGCTTCTAAAATTAAGTCTTAATAAATGTTATATTCCAGCAAAATGAAAAGTCTATTTTGAGCTTCTTGAATGTTACGTTCCTTTGCTGATGAAACCTTAAAAATTAGTCTGGATCCAAGTCTTAACCCCTTTGCAAAATTTAAAAAATGGTCATTCTCACTTTCCATTCATATTTTGGCATGAGAGCATGACAAACTATCAGAAACAAATAGTGCTTTCCTTTCCCCTGTGTTCTTCATATCCAAGTCACAAAATAAGAGTAGCAGCTCTTACTTTACAAAAATATGTGCTATCACTTCTTAATAACTTATACACCAGCACTAGGGTTAAGTAACCAGCATCCCTTTAAGTGATTCGATCAGTTCAGTGAAGAGGATATGAATATTCACACTTTACATGAGGAAATTTTTTTCAAAAGGAGGAGTCATCTGTTCTGGCCACAGAGTTCTCTCTCTCTCTCTCTCTCTCTCTCTCTCTCTCTCTCTCTCTCTCTCTCTCGGAGGCCATCCTCATGTGGATACTGCAACTTCACCCTCTCGTCCTAGATTTAATTAGAGGAAAACTGTAGTATGAAATGAAGCCATGCATCGACTTCACCATTATAGCTCAGCTGCAAGTAAAATAATTGTTTTTCTGTATGTAGTGACTTACACCTGTAATCCCAGCTACTCAGAAGGTGGAGATAGGATTGTGGTTGGAGAGTTCTCAACCTTCTCTTAAAAAAATAAACTAAGGCAAAAGGGCTAAGGTGTGGCTCAAATGGCAGAGCGTATGCCTAATAATAACCACAAGGCTCTGAGTCTAATACACATTATTGGGGGGAAAAAAAGTTAAAATGGTCATTTTTGTCCTCTCTCCTCTGAAATGTTGTGCTCTATCCGATAAAAAGTTCTGGAATGAAGGTGGGCCAGGTGGCTCACATCTATAATCCTACCTATTCAGGACGGTGAGATCTAAGGATTGTGGTTCAAAGCCAGCCGGGGCAGCAAAGTCCATTAGTCTGTGATCTCCAATGATCACCAACACAATGAGAAGAGGATCTGTGGTTCAAGTGTTAGAGTGCCAGCCTTGAGCCCAGAAGATTAAAGACAGCACTCAGGCCCTGAATTGAAGGTGGTCAATGAGAAACAACAACAAAATAATGACTATGTAGACTGTGTAGTAATTACTATCACAATTTTTATTAAGTAAAAGATTGTCTTGAGGAGCTTCATATGCATACAGTGGCGCAAATATCTTCTAGCTACATCTATTCTTTAAGAGAGAACCATGGATAGCTGGTACCTTGTGCTCTTTAATGCTAATGAGTCACTAGAACTAGAGATAAAGGAATTTAGTATCACAACCACTTAGAACAAACTTGGGAACAACTTTGAGATATGTCCCTTAAACAGCACTCAAGATGAGGGCTTGGTTTCCATTGACATTTTTCCATATCCTACCTATACTTGTGCAGAAGGTGAAATAAACCTTGTTAGGTGGGCTGGTAAGTCGCATGTTCATTGCCTAGCTGTATGACTGAGCAGGAGCCCTTCCATTCTGTCTGTGGCTTCCTGTCAGTTTCCAAGGACGATACAAACTTTTCCATAAAGGACAACAGTGCCACAGTTGAGGAAACTGGAAATCCTCACCCTTAAAAGAAAAGAAAATACCAACGACTTCCAATATATGATTTCTTCAAGTTAGAGGTTTACATTTTCTATTCTCCCAAAGACGAATATCACTTGTCCACGTTGAGAACAAGAGCAGCATTTGGCATTTGGTTATCCCAAACCCAAATCTCTGACCCTTTGTTTTTAGTACTTTGCCATTTTGATTTTGCTTTTTGATTTGCTTGTGACTCTCTGCTTCCCCCATCTTTTTTCTTTTTTTTGGTACAATGATTCTTACCTTGTCTTTCCCCAGTCCGTTTCTGACCTGGAGAGACGTACAGCATGTTATTGTCAGGACTTCCCGTGCGGGACATTTGAACGCTAATGACTGGAAAACCAATGCTGCTGGTTTTAAGGGTGAGAACTTCTTTCCTATTCTGTCACAGGCAAAAGATTTTTTTTTATTTTTCCTCCCATTTCAAATGGAGAACAGGAAACACAAACTCTCAAATGCAACATGCAAGTTTGTCCTCACACATGAGCTGTCCATGAAACTAAAGGCAGATGGATACTTTTTCGAAATTAAAAGACCATATATCAAGGCAGATTTCTTTGGCTTCCCACAAAATCAGATCAATTTTTTTAAAAAGAAAAAAACGATAAACCAAGCTGTAAGTATAGTCAGCTGATGGGGACCCTTTAATTCATTAATTAGTTTGCTGTTATTGCTTATCTGAGTGGTGTTTATAAGCATGTATTTTAGTATTCCTCACCTTCTATAGTGATTATTTCTACTTAAATAATAACTGATGTGTTTCCATATGTAGGTATAGATGTATAATATTGTTCTGTCAAGTGTAGCACTAGCAGGGTATGCATTCTATAAATTTTGGTTCTAAAGTTATACAGAGGGATAGCTCCCAGAAGTGTTACTGTGTGCAAACCAAAAGTTTTTGTAAGTTTTGTAATGTGAGTCTTTATGACATTATACGCAACACAGAACACATGCTGAATATTTTTCCCAGGGCTGATAAGGATTCTGTATCTCTCCAGCAGTGTTATTAAAGTAGCCGTTACGCTTATTGCCATAGATGATATATGTTGTAATAAAAAGAAAGTAATTATACAAAGCTGTTATTTATATAGAGCATTCCAAAGATTAAATGTTTTACTCAAATTACATATAACCTAGATTTTAATCTATTAAGTGATAACAAAGACTCCGTTTTATTATGCTTATACTATATACTTATACTTACAGATGATTTTATTTCCATATGGGTAAAATAACACTGTCCTGTGGCATCAAGAATATCTACTCATAAATTGAGACTCTGATAGTCAGAACATCAGTAACAAGCTAAATAATCCCGAAAATTTAATTTAGGGGCCCTTGTTACCCCAGTGTAAACATTTTAGGGGCCTAAAAACATTTAAGTATTTATTATATCATACATTTAATCTTAATATAGCCTTTGGAAGTTATATGTAAATATTATTCCACTGTGTGTATGTAATATGTGTATGTAATATATGTGCTTCTTTGTATGTGTGTATGTATATGTATACATATACATATATATTTGATGGTACTAGGGTTTGAACTCAGTGCTGTGTTTGCTAAACAGGTACTCTACTACTTGAGCCATGCCCCCAGCCCAAGAATATATACTCAAAGTTTATTTGCAAATAGCTTGTCATAGACTCTTGCTTACCAGAACTTTTAAATATCTCAGACAACCATCACCACATAATAATTATTGGATTTATGTTTTTCACTGAAGACTTCACTTGGTTCTTTAGACGAACAGTATCCCTCTGCTTTACAGAATTATCATATGCCTTTTCTATACTGAAAACCTTAACTATATAATGAAATCATGTTCAAAGAGATTTTTTTGATCTAAAAGTTTTAAATACCTATTGGAATCCCTAATCCTAAATTCAGACAGTCCCCACATTGCAAAGTGTATGGGCTGTATCAAATTATTTAAAATATCAGCTCCTCAAAAAAATATCCAGACTATGTCCCATATGTGTATTTTGTTTCAGTTAGCTTCCAATTCCAGCAAAACTCCTACAATATAAATCCACAACGCTCTGGGGACTGCAAGGGCTGACCATTTAACCTTGGCTTGTTCAAGGCTGGGTTAAACTTCTTAGTGGAAGGTTCATAGACTAAGTACATTGACCTCCATGAAGTTGATGAATCAGCTTTAACCCAAATAAAAGTCTTAGTTTTACTTATTCCTTTTTGGCAACTTAAAAAGAGCAAATGGTTCTAATAAAACATTCAGCTCTTTGGGAAAAAAAATACTCTGTTGGTTTTGGAGAGAGGGGAATCAAGAGGATTTAGACAAAATCACCAGACTCAAGCCGAAATCTGAAGGGGGTTGTGCACTGCTTCTGGAGGAAATCGTATTTTACTATTGCACGTGGCAATATTTAGTATAATATTTCACTCTTCTCTTAGATGGCTGCCAAGAGTAACAATTAAAGTTCACTTTTTCACAGATGAGTTACTCTGAATGGTCTGCACTCCCTGTGGAATTGTTTTGTAATTTTGTTGATGGCAAGCCCTATATTTCATCCAAACATAATCATCATAAGATGGATATTTTTTTTAAAAAAAGTTCTTTTTCCCCCCTACTCGAAACATTACCATCACTTCCCAAGTGTCCCACAAATAAAAGTGATTGCTGTGGAACCTTGCAGGAGAAAGCATGTGCTTCGGGAAAACAAAATACAGGTCATCAGCCCTAGGGGGAAAAAATAAAATAAAAACAAAAAGAGCTCGTGTTTTAGAGATGGTTCATGCAACAAGAGCTCAGGAAGAACTTGTCCCTTCGCTTAGATGGCTTTTGCAGGCCTCACAGCAGGAATCCACGGTGCACTTGCTCTTAGAAGAAAATGGAAGTTGCCTGCCAATGGAAACCTATGGCAACCATCATACTCACTGTGTGTCACCAGCTCATTAATACTGAGTGAAATGCATGCACGAAATGAATTCAGAAACACCTGTGCTGCCTAGGCTTGCTTTTGTATTCTGTAGTTGAACGATGGGCTTAAAGAGCGGTGAGTTTTGTGGGGTTTTTAATGAGAGAAATTTCACAAATTGCTCGATAGATAGCTCTTCAGGATAGGGACATTATGTGTGTCTGAATTTCTTGCTCATTAGGGAAACAGAAACTTCTCCAGAGTCGCAATCTATTCTGTTTAGGGGTTGGATATCAATAGACTTAATAGTCGTTTTAAAAACCAACATCTTGAGGTAATAGCAGTACTTTCCTACATTTTTTTAGGCATACCCATGCCATATACCTCCTAGACAGATAGCAGAGCTAGATGAGATATGAAGTAGATAATTTGAAGTTTTTTAGAAGCCAGACTTGATCCACCCTTAACCCAAGTGTGTTATAGATCTGGAATATGAAGAGATTCCCTCCAATGACAGCAGTCCAACAGACAAGTTATTGTTCAGCCAAGGAGGTCGGTGCAGCACTAAAGCACGAGTCTCTGCCAGCGTATCTCTGTGTTTCCTTGAGTTGCACACCAGATGATTTTGCTACTCCTTTCCCTTTATTCTCTGCAGATGACTGCGATAGAGAGATTAGCTCCTGGTGAAGAATGCCTTCATGAAGGAAGCTAAAGTCAACTTTCTTATGTTTTTTTTTAACAATTTTAATTAAAAATTAAGATTATTCTACTCCACTGCTGTGTGTATAATAATATTAATTTCTTATTACATAATGAAAATATCTTCTACGGAGTAGTTTTTCAGATTTTAAACATTGGCCAAAAAATACACACTCATGGATTTACCTTGTTCATTTCATTTACCTTTTTCATCTTGTGAATACAGTATTACAGATAAATGTCAGGTGACATGTTTTGATTTCACACCTTCTCCAGAGACAGATCCCTTACAAAATAATAATAATAAATGGAATAAATATGCACCTAAGAAAGAATCTACTTGCAAGTGTGAAAGAGGGCAGGACAGTTATTTGTTTTAGACCCGATAAGCAGATGTTAAGTTTTGCCACTGAAGAATTAAAATCCAAATTCCAGTATTTTGCTACTGACCAACATTTGCAATGCCAGGAGATGTATATTTGGCGTTAAACTGTCTAGGATTTTATCAGGATTATTTATGTTCTCCCTTGACCCCTTCCCTTTCCTCTTTCTGAGAAGTGCTTTCAGTTTTGTTTGGTTTTGTCTTGTCTCTTCATTCTCCCTGTGTTCCTTCACATGGACCAGGCAGCTATAGAAGTGAGTGTTTTTGCCATCTGGGTAATTTTCTTCAGGGAGTTTAGGTTATTGCTGTCTCCGTATGTATTAGTTGGTGAAGCACTTCCTGAGCCCACTACGTGTTGAATGTACCCTGACTGTGGAAGCAGAGCTTGAGCACCATGGCAGTGTCTGATCCAATCTTTTGTGGTGGACTGGCACACAAAAATAGAAAAATCATGTAAGTAGCATGCTGGGTGCCTGACTGGCACATGGGAATGGCGCAGTGAAATGAACTATCGTATGACAAACTCCGTGAAGGTGGTCACTTCGGACCCATTGCTTCTCATAGCACGGCCCAAGCACACAGCCCAAGTGGAAAAGTGAATGAATGAATGAGTGTAAATGACCTTAATTTAAATGTACACCAGGATATGTAGGAAAGAAGATGCACAAATTCTAAAAAGCACGGATGAACACTACCTTGACTAAATGCAAATTAAAAAAAAATCTTCTGTGGTGTAATTTGCATGAAGAAAAGAAATTTACACACCGCTGTTTTTATGGTTCAGCCTCAACTCCCACAGTGCTTCCAGTCATATGAGACAGAAATGCTGATAATCTTCCTTTTCTAATATTTAACCCGATGTCAGCAGCAAAAGGCATCTCGGACAGAGAATACCTGTGCTGTCTGAGATGCATGTACTTTGACCATATACATTTTGACCTGATATGTATGTGTGGGCATACAGATATGCAGGCCAGGGAACCATCCTGAAGATATTAATCCAAGATTCTGTTATCGTCTGTGGCTTCCATTATTTCTGGGAGAAGTTAGCGTTTTGCTTCCTCCCTTCCACTGCCTTAATGTAAGGAAAGCCTCACCCTTCTTCCCCAGCCCCAGTCCCCAGTTCCCAGGCTGTGCAGCCTGATTCCTCTCCCTGCACTCTGAGCTGAGGTTGGAGTGTGCAGCTGTGGTTATTATAGGATATATGCTTGCTGCTATTCCAGCTTTTGCTTTTGGTTCTTCTGTACCTGTATACAGTTAAACTCTCTTACATCTAGGAATAGGAATAGACGTCCGATAATAAATTAGGACCTTCTGACATCTTTACTAGGCGAAAGAATGAAAAAAAAGCCATTAAAATTAAAAAAAACAAAAAGCAACTAAAGTGAGCGAATTTACC